TCTCTCTCTCTCTCTCTCTCTCTCTCCCCCTCCCTCTCTCTCACTCACTCTCTCGCCTCTGCCTCTCGACTTCAAGGTGGAGTTCGACTGATTGCATCGGACCGTGATATTGAAAGCGCAGAGTGCCTTTTGATCGCCCCGGGCCGCACTCTTTGGAGTCGTGTAAGATTTTCGAGACTATTCGTTTGGGGCATGAAACCAAAATTTAAAAAAAGAAAAAAAATCACACTGGTGACTATAAAGGGGAAAATAATTGTGATTAGTTGTTTCCGTTGGGAAGCTAACAGTGGAACGACGGGCTACCTCCCTTAAGACGACCCTTCTCTTTCCCCGCTCCAGATGCGTCCAGATGTTTTTTTGATTTTATTGTAAATGCATTTTTTTGCACGGAGTAAGAATTAGTTTTGGTGCCTAACTGTAATTTTTAGCTACCACTCCTTTCTTTCGTCGTTGCCTGATGGTATCGAAAATTTAATGTCTGAGTTTACCTAAACATAATAAACCTAAATATAATAATTATTGTGAGATCGACATGCGTGATTTCGCAGTTTTCAGTGTACCACGGGTGTTCGGGGCGCCTGCCAGGCTCGTATCTGGTAACTGGTTGGGGCTGAAGGCATCCCGGGCTCAGCTTCTCCTTCTTTTCTTTTTTTTTTCCTTTTTTTCACGGTGGATAGACCGAGGGATAGTCTCGGGATGGAGATAGGGCCGCCACATCGCGTGCAGCGTCGCGATACCAGCTGCGCCTCGTGGCGTGGGCGGGGGCGAGGCTGGGTGAGTATGGTGCGGTGGTGGTGCTCCAGGACGGATGCAGAGGGGAGGTGAGAGCCCAGCCGCAGCATCAGAGAGTACAGGCGATGTAGACCGAAAATGGAGAGAAAAGGTTGGGTAAGAACTATCTTCCATCCACCCGCACTGGTAAAAATGGCGTGGATACTTTACGACGTATCTGTCATTTTTTACGTCATCACTATTGTTACATGACGACACAGTTTCGATATGCATAACGGTGCATGCCTCGTATTCTGTCAAAAAACTGCGTGTTTGTTGAAATTATTCCTTAAAAAACAAATATAATAAAAGACGCTATTACAAATAATATAATTTTATTGGAACCATGTTTTCAAAACCATGAGGACCGCTATTGATGTGGTGTTCTGGAGCCTCAGTCCACGACGCCAAGACCTACCCCGCCCCGTCCCCGCCACGCCCCGCCACGCCGCCACACCCTCAGCATCCCCGGCGAGAGGTAACCACCGGCTTAACAAGTCTCTTAACGGGCCGGAGGAAAGGGCGACCAGGACGCGGGGAGGAGGGGGCCGGCAGGGAGGGAGGGGTTCAGCAGGAAACGTTCCGGTGGAGTCTTGACATTATTCGCGGGGTCCCAACCCGGACGCGCGGGCGGAGAAGGTGGCAGAGAGGGGTTAGGGCACCCCTCGACCTCACCCCGCCCCGCCCCGCCACGCCACGCCACGCGCACTCCAGCCAGGGGCGAGGAGTGGGCGCTCGGGTGCGGTTCTCACGGGGTACTCGCACCACGCCCCGCCCCGCCCTT